GTAAGATATTTCAGCCTAAAGTAATTAATATAAGTTAAAGAATTTTTTTTTTTTTTTTGACAAATATGTATGTGTACCTTAGCATGAAATCATTTGTTATTAATTTTAATAATATAAGCACGCTTTCAACACAACACTTTAATAATGGAATACGTCGAGTACAATTAAGCAATTAATTGTTGGAATTGTTTCATCGATATCATGATCATAGCTTGCGAAAGAGATTGCTAGCTTTTTTCCAAAAAATAATGTTTTGCTTTTTCAAAAGAATCGTGTGTAGGTGGTCTCGTACTTTTTTTGACAAAATTGCAAAAGCATGATCAACAATTGGAAACAAGAGCTGTGATTCATTCGTCAGAGTGAAACGAAATTTCGAAATATAAGGGAGGGGGAGAGGACTTCGAATATAACAGCAACTGAGCTGCGAGTTTTCATTAGTCTCGATGATGTTAATGAAAAATTTTGGGTACAACATATTGAATTCTACTCATATAAATATTACTATACAAGATTTCTATACAGATAAAACAAACTATACTGGCATTATCATAAAACCTATATCAATTTTAAGATTGTTTTCCATCTCCAATAGATTTGGAAGACAAATAACTCAACAAATTAGACTTTATACCATAGGAGTCCACTGACTTTCTCTATTTGTGATTTTACATAATAAGAATTCGAGTTGAAATAAGTAGATTCCATGAACAAATCGGATATTAATTAAAATTTAATTCAAATAAATGGAATACATATAAATACATACATTTCTCCTGAAAATTGGAGTTAACTAATTCTTCCCTCTATTAATAATTTTTCGTTCATATAAGTTCAGGCTTGAAATTTGACTAAAATTTCAAATAAATGGAGTCCATATAAACTGGAGTTTTACTGCACGTACTGTTATCCTATCCAATTAAGGATAAGAAAAGTGTTATAATTATAAAGAATTAAATTGTAATTCTAAAAAATTCAAAATTAAAGAATTAACCCAACAGATGAGTTAATTCGAAGAATCTTTAATTTCGTACTCGTAAAAGAATTGAGAACCAACGATTCTAGTTCAGATTATTTCATTTATGAATGTTTGCTCACCAATTCAGGCCAGATACTGACTTTCTGCATCGATATCAGAATATTTCAATGTGTATAGGGCCCTTAATAAATTCTAATAATTTTTAGCTAAAAAGATATGAAATACATTGGTTAGATGAAAAACTAATTTCTAAATGATTTATAATTATGTGTAAAGAATAATCATACCTAATCAGTATCACTCTAATAATTTAAATTTGTGAACATGTAGACGCAATCGATCGCAAACACACACGCGTATTTATATTGTATTTAATATAAACGATTACTAATAATTAGACAACGAGTATCTATGTAATATTATATTTTTATGAAGATAATTAAAAACCTAGATGGAATTAATTTATCTACTGAATACCATAATTAGATATCGTACATTAACCATTTCATATTTCATACTTACGCGCATTCTTGCTTTTCTAAATTCCCTATAGATGCATAAAAGTTCACAGTCTACTAATAATTAA